AGCGGGACCCCGCGGCTGCAGCCCTTGGGTCCCCTCCAGCGGGAAGGGCAGGGCCCGGCCCGCGGACAAGTTGTGAGGTAGAAAATGGGAAAGCGTCATGTTTCGCTGTCAGGGCTGGTCAGAAACAAACTGGCTGACGGCACAAATCCCAGTATGTTTCTGAGGTGCTCCAGGAGGCACTCGAAACCCATCCGGTACGTCCCAAAAATTTAGATCTCCAAAGAAGAAAACTCTCCAATGATCCATGCGACAACTTCAGCCCAGGCAACGAAAAAAAAAAAACCAACACAATTTTCCCCACACTTGTACCCTTAAAGCATTTAAAATTCGAGCAAGGGAAATCAAATTGTGAGGGTGCACGAGAGGGCAATTAATTTCCCTCTGCCTCAGCCTTCGGTACTGCCTCACGCGAGGCGGAGGAGGTGACGGCTCGTCCGCCAGCGCTGGGCTAACACAGTCTTCCTCTGCCACTGGGCACCAGAGAGCGAGTGTTCCGGTCCCTGCCGCACCGCGCAGCGCGAGGACCCGAGAGCCCAGAGATCCCGGACCGCGCCGCCCACCCACGCAGTCCCGTAATGCGTACGGGTGTCCTGCCGGGCAATGGAGGGGGGTCCTGAGGGCTGTCAGCCGCCGAACTCCTGCACTCCGCAGGCCTGCCTTCACCTCCTTCGCAGCGCACGCTAACGCCAAAATAAAGAAACTGTCTTCGTCCTGTTACTTGAATTTTCTTACTCCTCACACTTCTGCAGTGTATATTTAAGATTATTAGGTTGACTTACGTTTCCTTAAAATGCTCAGGGAAAATCTGAGGGTTCATTTAAGTATTGCAGGCTCATAATCTATGACAGGCATTTTACAAAGTGTCAGAAAACTTCTCACTTGATAATAACATACTGACAGTCAGGGGAGCGTTCCCTTTTCTAGTGCTAATAATCAGCATTAAGGCATGCCACGGTTCCTACAAGAAATCCCTGATCCTTACAGCTTTAGCTGTCACCTTTCTGCAATAATGGAATATACTCCAATTTTACGTATATATATCATTAAAAAATAAAAATAATGGCTCTCAAAACTGCCAGACTCAATTTTAGAGCTTTGGCCGCACGGGTGAGTACAGCAATTCTCATCAGGGCCCCAGGCTGGCGAAAGGGTTTTTGCCCTCCGTGACATCTGCCCCCTGCCCCACGCCGTCCTGCTGCCCCCGGCTCAGCCCCGTTTGCCCTCTCGCTTGGCACGGCTCTCCCTGGACCTCCAGAGGCCACAACCACCCCCTTCCCCTCCTCGGAGCAGGACGGGAGGCAGCACTGTCCCACTGCCCTGCCTCGCAGGCCCTGCAGGCAGCGTCCTCCTACCCACCCGCAGCAAGAGGAGCCTTCCTCCTCTGCATCCTGCTTCTTGGGCTATTTCCTTCCTCGCCCTCACCGATCACAACAGGCTGAAGGCTTCTCCTCACATCTGGAAGCTATATCATATATTTACCCCAGAAATTCTACCCGGAATCATAGAATCATAGGTTGGAAAAGACCTCGAAGATCATCAAGTCCAACCGTCAACCCAGCAACACCATGCCTGAAGCGCCACATCTACATGTTTTTTAAGCACCTCCAGGGATGATGACTCCACCACTTCCCTGGGTAGCCTGTTCCAATGTCTGCCCACTCCTTCAGTAAAGAAATTTTTCCTCATACCCAGTCGAAACCTCCCCTGGCACGACTTGAGGCCATTGCCTCTCGTCCTATCCCCAGTTACCTGGGAGAACACCTGCCTCACTACAACCTCCTTTCAGGTAGCTGTAGAGAGCAATTAGGTCTCCCCTCAGCCTCCTCTTCTCCAGACTAAACAGCCCCAGTTCCCTCAGCCGGTCCTCATAAGACTTGTTCTCTAGACCCCTCACCAGCCTCGTTGCCCTTCTCTGGACATGCTCCAGCACCTCAATGTCCTTCTTGTAGTGAGGGGCCCAAAACTGAACACAGTATTCGAGGTGCAGCCTCACCAGTGCCGAGCACAGGGGCACGATCACGTCCCTACTGCTGCTGGCCACACCATTCCTGATACAAGCCAGGATGCCGCTGGCCTTCTTGGCCACCTGGGCACACTGCTGGCTCACGTTCAGCCGGCTGTCGACCAACAACCCAATGACACATCACTGATGACACATCCAGAGGGATGTAAGCTCTCCAAAGATGACTGAGGAGATGCTGGCCACTGCTGAGCTCCCGCCCGCGAACACGCTCCTTAGCACAACATGAACTCGCAAAATCATCTACTAGGCAGCAGCACTGCCTAATAAGGCTGCTCCTTTAAATACCAAATAACACTGAACTAAGGCAGCAGTTAGAGCAGGTAATATCTGAAGAAGCATCTCTTTTGCAGGGCCAGCGTTAGAATCACAGAATCATTAAGGTTGGAAAAGGCCTCCAACATCCTCAAGTCCGACCGTCAACCCAACACCACCATGCCTACTAAACCATGTCCCAAAGTGCCACACCTATATGTTTTTTGAACACCCAAGGCAGTTAAAGCCTGGGTACCACATCACACTATGTACAGTGACAAAAGGCAGGAACCTGGAGCAGCGCAGCTCCTTGGGCCCCGAGCTGAAGGCACCCACGCCAGCACCCACGGCCAGCAAGCAGGAGGCGCTGAACCAGGCGAGTGGCAGGCACAGGAGCTGCACGCGTCTCCTGACAAGAGCAGCTAGCGAAGGGGGAATGAGGAGCCAGGCAGCAAAACAGCACCCAGTCTCTCCACGTGAGGACCCCACGTTTCCACCTGCTACTTGTTACTCTGAACCTTGTGCTGCCACATACTCCTGGGTAAAGGGGGAGAGAACTCTTCTCAGGTATGTCACAGCGGGAGAAAAAATATAATTTTAAAATCTTTTGATATTCCTGATAGTTGAGACTTAACTCATGACTGACAAGGCTGCGACAGTGATTCACACGTTTCTACTAAGACTCTGCAGCCAGAGGCTGTCCAGACAGAGCTCTTCACTCACGTTTGCCTTTGGCAGGGACACATATATATATATCAACATACATACATATGTTATCAGGACATATATATATATATATATATTTAAAAACTGTTCAGTAAGAACTGACAGCGGTGCATACAACAATCTTTGTTGGTTTCCCAGCGCTGCAAGAACACAACTTTAATGTTCTGCAGAAACTGGCTGATAATAAACAACAGCACCAGTGGTACAGGTTTTTGGCTCCCGTGCCACAGAACTGTGATACATGTACCCTTGATCACCACTGCGTTAAGTGAGTCCCATGTCAGCCAGTCCAACTGCCTGGTATTTAACCTTTGTGTCTCCAGACAATTTATTTTTTACAAATAAATTTGTTTTTATTGAACGAGCCCCAGAAAGCTCCTTCCTGACCTTTCCATGCTGGTTGCGAGAAGGCTGACAGCCTAGTGACACAAAACTGAAGCTTCAAAAGGTCTAGTAAGATGCAGACAGCCCCAGCACAAGCAAAGCCCTGCAGCCGAGGAATTTCTTCTAGCATCTCTGCTGAAGGAGAAATGTTCAGTCTCAGCGTCCCCATGCTTTTTCACTCTTTGGGCCTTTTAAGACCCCAAACAAGAGGTCAGTTAATTCAAGTTATGGCGGTTTTCATACAAATACATCTGTCCACCAGGAACTAAACTTCTTTCATATAGGCCACTATGGCTATCAGAAGTTAATGACTATCAATCATTGCTAATCTGAACTGAAATGGAGCCACTGACCTCAAGCTCAAAGAGCCTTTTGTCTCCTACCAATACCACGAGCCATTTGGTTCCCTGCCCTCTGCCTCTTATTTTATATTTTAAATAATCATCACTAATTGTATAATTGTTTGAAAATACAGGAAGTTTGTGGCAAGTCACGACCAAGTGGTGTTCTTTTTTCCCTTAGCTCTCACTCAATAGAAAAGAAGGAACCAGCTTAAAACTGAAGGATAAAAAAGCATCTCTCTCCATTAACTACTAGCCCTGCTATTTGATTATTGGTCCTGCTTCTTAACAGTCTACCAAGTAGACTGTTAATAATCCTGCAGGCTGCAATAATTAACAGCCTCCAAAGTGTCAAGGTCATTCCTGTTCTATATGGGAGTAATAAGAAAATTAGATGGGCAAGACACCAATGGAATGGTTTATATTAGGATAGAGGAGTATCTGAGGAACCTATTTATCAAAAATCTCTCTTTATTCAGTGGTTTTATTATTTTATACCAGTTGCATTTTCTCTGGCATGTTTTCCCTTTACAACAAGTGCTCATATACTTGCAAACATTCGATTATAGAGCTTAAAAAAAACCCCATTCTTGTCAGACAAAGCAACTGTATCACCAGCTATCTTTAGCTGAATCTGTTTTCTTTAATGAAACACGTTTTCCTGTAGAAATGCTGCCTTAAAAATCATGACCACACTAATTATCTATGGCAAGCACATCTTCCTCAACCAACGACAGCTCGAGCACATTATCGTTCGCACCAGACTTCATTCTGAAACTGAAGGACCCGTAGAGCTTCGCTGACTCCTTGGAGGACGCAAACCTGCTCCTGCGGTACAGCTCCCCTTTCCACATGGACACCATCAGCAGGCTGGAGAGCACCACTCCCCCCAGGGTTAGGAGACACAGCCCGGCGATAACACAGCGGTCCAGGTGAGCCCCGATCCTGGCGCTCTCGTTCTCCAGCCTCTCCATCTCCCGGGCAGCCACCGTGTTGGGATCCACAGTCACGTCTCTGGGTACCACGTAGGAAATGATCACCAGCAAAATGCCGCTAACCAGGAATGAAATGGCGCTAATGAACCCGTAGTCCACGGATTTCCTGGCCGCCGCCTCCGAGGCCGCATCGTCCTCCTCAGAGACCAAGGAAGGGGAATCATGCACCCACTCGGGCGGCAGCTCCCTGCAGGAACGCTGCTGCAGAGCGGCATCCTGGCAGCGGCCACCAGTGGGGCTGGGGGCACTCCTTGCATGCTCCAGGTTTACATTTTCATCCACGTAGGTGAACGACGTCTCGAGTTCCTGGGCACAGCAGCAGGCTTTCTTCTTCCCCCCATCCTCCTCCCCGGGCCAGCGTCC